GTATTATACATATTAAAGCATAATATTTAAATGAAATAGAATTATGCTAATCGTATATCTTATAATTGTTACAATGAATTATTTAGTACTTAAGTACTTATTCATTGCTCTAGTTTGTAAATAGGATTATTGTTCAAAAATTATTTAATTTAATTAACACACACAGACTGATTAATATTATTTTTCTAAAATAATCAAATATATAACATAATTAACATATATATGTAACTTGTACAGTTAATAAATCGTGCAGAGGCTATAAAAAAAATTGTATATTTTAAAAATCAATATATTTACAATTTTGTACTTTGTTAATTAACAGCTATGTCTTTGTGATAATTTTTTCCATTGATAATTTAATAAACACATTTTCTAAATATATGGTCCCACATAATTTTTTTATTAAGTTCTATTTTATATTTTATTATCGGTACTGTTTATTGTTATCATTATTGTTTGATCCTAAAGTTTGATCCAAACTCACAGATTCTTTTTTGAGCATGTTAAGCAATATTTCGGAACTCTCTAGAATCTATAATAAAACAAATATACTTAAAAAATACGAGATTAACATTCAATTTAGAATAGATCACTCAACAATAATACTACCTTTATAAATGCTGTTTCAGTTTCAGTAATAGCTCTATCGAATTCGTTTCTGATCGCGATTTTTTTTGTTAAGCTATCGTTCAGGTATGTAAGTTGATGCGACATCTTCTCGATTTCGATTTGTAAATTGTTCTTCTCTTCTTCCTGGGATTGTATCAGAGATTGAAGTTGGGATCGTTTTAACTTCATCTCTTCTAAACCTAGGAAAACAAATTTTTTTCTGTACATGAATGCAACAGGATAATTGTTATTAGAAAGAAATATCGAGTTATAATATCTTAGAATAAAGTAATTTAAGATCGTTAATATAATGTTTGAATGACTATTTCTTTTTCGGAATTAAGATACCTTCAATATTGGGATTGTGTAGCAAAAGAATACTTGTATTATGTTTCAGGTATCTAAAATCGGATCAATTAAAATTCAAACTTATGAATAATGTCAAACAAGAATTTTTAGGTTAAATGGGTTACATTTTACAAACTCCTGATTAAACGTTTGCATATCAGCTGCGTGATGGGCCATCGTGAATCCTCCACAGAAAATTCATATAAAGCATATATATTTAAACTGATTTAAATGTATGTGGATAATGTCAGGTGGGATTATCAAGAACGTTATTTACCAATAACCACCAACAACGCAGAAACGTGGAACGTTCGGTTCGGGTAAACAGTTGCTGTTTTGGCGCGCGATCCCCCGCTTTACGCATGCGTATCAGGAGTTATAAAAATACGAAGATTTCTCGTCCTTTTGCCGCGTTATGATCTATATTTTATACATAAAAATCTAGAGATTGTACGAAATTGGATCTACAGGAACGGCGACGATTTTTTTTTAATTCATAAAGTAGTCATTTTTTGTGGCCGAGCTCTAAAAATCAACGCGATAAACGGAACAGGATAATTGATGAAGGATTTGATTAATCCTTTGCAATTTCTTTCGAGTTTTTGGGAAAGACAATACGATTTATGATCAACGACGAAATCGGTATAGCGCCTATTTTAACGGAATTCATTTTGCAGATTCTGAATATCCGAGTTCGAGGCTCGGATTAACACTGGACTAGCTGCTTTCGAAACCAGTTTTTTGTTCAGAGCTGGAACTATATATATTGCATAACTACGTCTGATCGTAAAATTACTTTCGGGACTGTGGAATATGTATTCTTGTAGATATCAGAGTTATTATCGTCTTGAAGATCACCGCAAATCTTTATCCTTTTCTAAACAAAAAATTGATCCATGCGAAAACAGTCCGTTGCAATCGTATATTCTATCGTATATTTCGTTTTTCATTACCAATAGTTTATATATCGATTTATACTCTAATCCATCAGGCGTATAAATATATACGTTTATATTTGTATCATTTGTATTTTACAAAAAGAAAAAGTGCAACTCAATGAAAGTCCCATGTTTTATTTTCATTTATCGAACTGAAATGCGTTCTTTGCGTCATTTGTATTTTACATTTCACGCGTTTGAACGTATGCATTTTTTCGACAACGACAACGCAACCTTTCCCTAAAGTGGAAACGTGAAAAGTGAACACTTCATATTTCTGTCTCAGGAAAAGGCAAAAGGTTGCTTAATTACAAAGTACTCCTGGAGTAGAATCAGATGGGCACATATCCCTTGGAGACAATCGCGACCTAATTTCCCGTCCGTTAATTTATTTCGCGTAGAGGAGGAGGAGGGACGCATTGCGTCGGATGGAGACGATCGCGGGCGGTGAGGACTAGTTAGCGCGATCAGGTTCACACCTGAGCTCACCTTTTAAAGGCGTCAGACGGAAGCGTGCCGTGGTGGAAAAGCGCACGCCACGATAAACGTGCCTTTCGCTCGCCGCGCGGTCGCGGGACGCCCGTCGACGTGCATCGACCGTTCCAGCGATTTGCAGCAGCGATTCCGATCGCGACTGCCGCGAGACGGGCGAGATCGCCGGTCGCGTTGCTCCGTGGACCGGGACGTACATGTTGTATGTCGCGTCTCGAGTTTCAAGCGAATCCGCGCCAACGCCACCAGAATCGTCGCGAGTGCTTTTCGACCGAGTGCAGGGACGTTCGATCTCGAGGAGGAAGAAAAGGAAGGAGAGAAACACGAAACGCGGCGAATACTCGCGTGATCGATATGTCGCGGCGATCCAGGCACGTCTGCACGCTCGGTCAGCGCGTTATCACGAGGAGAGGAATCACCTGCGGGTAAGGATCAATATGGGGGAACGTAATCTCCCAAGTCAACGGCAAGGTACTCTCGGGCAAGATCCTCTCGAGCGACCCCAGCGTTCGAGAGCGGCCCTCCCGAACGATCTCGAGATCCGCGATCAAGAGATTTGACGCGGGATCGAGCGCGTGTGCACTGCGCGTCCTTGCAATCCCTCGTGATCTTGGTCCCGCGCTTTGCTCCGACATTTCTTCATTGACGTTTCCTCCTCTATTTTCTTTGTTTTTCGGGAATTTGTATCGTGGGAGGATGCTGCGCGCACAGGTCGCATGGATCTACGGCGCCTGCGCGCGTCGCAATCCGCCCGCTGTCGCCTTCTGCGTGCACCATTTAAAAATTCCGATTAACGCGAGAAAAACATAAAGCAGGAGTTTAATAACCGGTTGGCTGACGAGAGTGAACGTATTTTAGAGGGCCGATGGCATTAATCATCGATACCTGTCTGTCACACACTTTCCTATAAAGAAAATTAATGAATTCGAGGGAATCATATTAATTAACGAATTCTTAAAAAATAATCGAGATTTTTAGATCTGTGCCACGGAAGTTTGCCGTTCAATTTCAGAGAAATGATAATGTCTCATCATCTATTTTAATTAAATTATTTATTTCTTATCTTATATCGCAAGGCTATTATATTATAATTATGTCGATGAAGTGATCTCCCAAAATTTAATATCGTCATTGCAATTACTAGATATTTTGTTTTTAGAATTCTTGTTTTTTAGAAATATTCCTGTAATTAATTGCAGGAATGTTTTTTTATATTAGAGATCAAAGACCGCAGGTCTTTCATAGTCCATTCTTGTATTTAAGACTGTCTTAATTAATTAATTGAGTAATGTCTCAAGATGCTAAATTGATTCTGTGATGGGCTTATGACATCTTAAGACAGTCTTAAATACATAAGAATCGATTTGTAAATATGCCGGCCAAAAAAATTTCACGACGCGCTAAACACACGTGCACATTTAA